CTCTCTCTCTCTCTCTCTCTCTCTCTCTCTCTCTCTCTCTCTCTCTCTTTCACTGTCTTTCTCTCGGCTACGTCGCTACTTGTTACCTTTCTGCTTTTTCTTTTACTTCACTTACTTCTTTTTACCTGTGCAGTATCTGCAAGCAACATTGCATTGTATTCGGGCTTTATTATTACGCATACAAATGCGAAGTTCAAATTTTCACATACTTCGAGACAAATTTTTGACGAATTATTTCAACGAAAATTTGTTTATTTATGCTTCGTTAATCAAGATTACAAGTGCACTATTTCGTCATCACTATTGCAGCAAAGTAGCGTAGCGTTGTTAAAGTGCGCTTTCGAGCTTGCTTCCTTGGAACGTTTACATCATAGGAAGCTTACAGATATGAGCTTCAACATAGATTTTAAACTGGCAGTGTAAATTCGTCACGTGCGGAATGTGCAAACGAGCATGAAATTTTGAGGGATCGATACCAGCCGGCGCGTCGAAGGAGATAGCTCGCCGAAAACACTTGGCAAATGTAATAAAAAGCGCAATTTTCTATATTTCTGTACTTGGCAGCCCGGCAATCGATACTCGGTGCGGTACAAACTATGACTTCGAACCGCCTCTGAACCTTCCGCTCTCTCTCTCTTTCTCTTCTGCAGACACACACTCTGAACTTTCCAAGGCTGCGGCAAACTCGCGCCGTGTATATATTCGGCGCTCGACTAAGAGCGAGGGAAGGCTATATGTACCGGGAGAGGAAGATCCCCCGAGGCATTGAATGACACGAAACTAGGCCAAAAGCAACGCTTGTGGTAGTGGCGATGGCGCAGCAGCAGCAGCAGCAGCAGCAGCAGCACTGCCAACAGCACATCTCCCGACCATTATATATATACACCTAGCGCGCCTCGCACCTTCTTCTATACTTCTTTTTTTTCTTTCTCTTTTTCTACGAATCGCATAGCTTTTTTCTTCCTCGTTTCTCGTAATTTTTCTTTTGCTTTGATATTTTCTCATCGCCCGCTGTATGGATATCTTTACTTTTATTTTCAACCCTGCTCTTTTTTTCTATTTTCTATATTTAGCTGGGTGCCTGGAAAAATCTTTTTTTGCTCGATTTTTGATACTCCACAAAGATTTTAAAAAATATCCACTAATACACGTATGCGAGCAAGCGGAGCTCGCTTATTTTTCGTGAAATTTGCTACAGTATCAATTTCATTTTTTTCGCATTCATAATAATTCACTTATACTGTAAATCTACAATAGTATTTATAATTTCTAAATAAATGACTTTAAAAAATTTTCTATTTCTATTTAAAATTTTTCTCAGTCATAATCAATTACTAAAAAGGATTATCTAATATGGTACTGATTGAAAGAAGAAAAGAAGGAAGAAACGGGGTGCTTCAAGAAACTTCCAACTCACAAATATGACATATACTTAAATAAGCTTACTTTAAAAAAATCAATAAAACATTTTTACTCACACAGTTCTGGTTTTATAAAAATTGTTGCATACGTAGCAAGTAAAAGGATCAAAAACGATGAATTCTCACTGAGAGCATAAAAAATTCTGCGCACATGCGTGCACGCTTCACTTGTAAGTATAGCCGGAAAATTGGATGTACGTGGCGCTAGCGGGTTTTGCGCGATTAGATCAGCGTGTATGTATTTTTGAAAAATAGAACGATTTTTTTTCAAATTTAACTTGGAAACTGTGACAAGGCAAGTGAAAATTTATACGTAGTTGATGAAAATTCAGCGTGAAAAAAATGTCCGGGCCCTTGCATAACCGCCATTTTCCTTTTCCGTCCAAGCAGCCGACGTAATTTCGCATAAATTGTTCTCCTCGCCTCGACTTTTCTGTTTTATATACCGCAGAGAGCGGGCCTGCCGCGTTTGTGTATGCGTGTATCTCTATATATTGCCAGTTACCGGCGACATTCGCGCAGCGAGTAAAAAAGCATTTGCACGTAAAGCGATTTTTTTTGCTTACACCCCCGTCAGGCGATTTGTGTATACCTATAGACAGTCGCAGCCGTTTTTCACGGCTTATTTATTGGCAAAACGCGTCTACGGTAAGTCTTGGGACCTCAAACATCGGTGCAAGTATTAATCCACGTCACAATGAAGAGAAGTGCCCCAAGTATTACAGCTCAAGTAAACTTTTCCGTTTCTTTTTTGAACCCTAGCACTCATTTCCTCCGAGCACACGATAATTAGCTAAAACAATATCAAGCGCAGCGAAGATTATAATTCAACCGGTCAAAAATGTTGAGAATAAGCCGGTAGCAAAATAAGCTGGCACATTTTGACGAGGTGAGAAAACATCAGCGTTACAAGATATGCTACGAAGCTCGCGTATATAGCAGATAAGACGAATAGCGAGCTGTGAAACGTTAGAAATTTACGAATGTACGCGAAAGGGAAAGCAGCGGAGTGCCGAGAGCGCGCGGACGCCTCGGCGCTGCAGGCTCGTACCAGCTACGACGTGTGCGCGCGCGCGCGTGTGTGCATCGCTATGGGCGCCGGAAGGTGTACATATTATTATATGTATACAGAGCGCGGAGAGTCGGGCTAATCTTGCGAACCACGCGATTCGCCACCGCGATAGTATCCCTGCTTACGAGCCTGATAGCTAATACTTCCCTTAGCCTGTATGAACAAACTAGATTACGCCTGCTAACGCAGTCTGTGTTGTGCAAGCCAAGGTGCAGGCTGTTGTATATGTATGCGACTACAGTAGTGCACCACTACCACCACCACCACCACCACTGCCTCCACCGCTCTTGTGTTTACACACTACGCTTGCACGTATATCTATACACCTGCAAGCACGCCCGCATCAGATAATAATTCCGAGCTTTCTGTTTTGCGAATAATTGAGTCGAAAGCGAACGAACGCTGGTCTGTACGGTGTAGCGCACGCCTCGTGCTGCTGCTGCTGCTGCTGCTACTTCGCGTCGTGTGCCAAGTCTCATCAGCTCGTATCAAGTTGAAAGAGGAGGAGGCGGCATTTGTTCACCGAATTCGGTTGCAAGCTTGCTCCGCCGAATGAAACAAAAGCTTTGCTAATAGCCGCCGGATTCTTTGTCACTTTCAGAATCCGACGTTTTAACTATCGCACAAATTTACTCCGACTAATTTTCCTTTCTTTTTAGTCTGTGCCATTTGAGATTCGCGCAGAAACGAGAATCTATACTCTCAAAGAAACGAATAAAAATCCTCTTCGTACAATAAGTTTCTCTCGCAAATTGCAATTCATTTATTTCTTATTATCAAAATTTATACCTCCGATCAATGGCAAAGAAAAAGGAAGTACGATGGAAGCTCATTAAGGTTATTAATGCTATTATGAAGTGACTTGAACGGTACACCATATCCCCATTATAATGAGCTTATTCGATGAGTATGCCTACGGTTCGAACATTAACGAATCAAATTAGATAATTAATGAGTTAAAAAATCAAATATGATGATACTTGAACTGGATAAACGTATGTGAATGAAGGATTATGTGGAAACTTGAATAATTTCTCACGCACTTCCCAAACATTTAGAGACTAGTCATGCATAATCATGAGTGAATCTGAAACTGTTTCATATTAGAATATTATTTCTGTAGGTAAAAAAACTCACAGAAATGTTGAGAATGTTATAATGTTTATTTTTTAAATTTGTCAGTAACTTTAAATAATAATCTTAAGCAAAGAAAAGAGAAATACGGAAGACGGTAAATTATAGCTTCAAAAAAGTCGTACGAACTAGCGAAAAAAGCTTAATCCAACAATTCGACAAAAGCTCTTAATACCAAAGTAAAGAGAAAAGACTCGACTTTCCCTCTTTCTTTCTCCGTCGCACTTTCATTGGTGTATAGTAGCAACAGCAATTAAATTATCCTAAAGTATAAGGAACTTCGAAGGGGTACATGTATCTATGTGGCATCGGCAGCAGCAAGGCAGCAGCGAACAACGTAGAAGAATCTTATTTCCACTGCTTTAATTCTCTTCCAGTCTACAGAACGTGTATATGGCCGATTCTCCGCGGAATCGAATGACCAAAATGTTCCTTTTTAGCTGACATGAAAAACTTATTTTGTTATCATGTTACACGTTCAACTATGATGATTTTCAAGTATTCATGCCATAGACGCTAGAAATATGTATCAAAGCTATGAATTCTTTCCTTTTTGAAATTCAGGTTTAATCTAGGTGTTAAGTATCAGTTGTTAGTCGTAGATATGGTGGTAAAGCTAGTGACGTATAGATAACTGGTTCCGCAATATAGATTTTTAAAAATCATTTGATACGTATTTTATTGTTTTATTTTTAGTTAATATACACTATTAAGTAAAGTATGGTATATTATAACAATCAATATGACGTCACGTTAATTTTCAAAATTTTAGTACCTTAGTTAATAATTGATTTATTAAAAAAACATTAAAATAAATGGCTTAAAATGTTCTTAAAATTTGCTTGAAAATGCGTGAAGCGATAACTAGCAATTTTATAATCTTACAATAAATTTGAGAATTTAGAATTTAAAAATTGAAAAAAAATTGAAAAATTGAGAAAAATGTTTTTTATGATTTTTCTCATATTGATCAAGTTAGAAGCAATTGAAAATGAAAAAAACGCTAATTTTATGATTATCGGTCGCGTGTAACAACATGAAAAAACGATATTTTTGAAGTTGCCGGGGCTTTTTATTGATCTTTAGATATCCTTCTTTTAAGTCTTATAGTAGAGTTTAATAGAGTTCGATTTAATAGAGAATCAGCCATATATTATGTTAAGAAAGATAAGTGTTTCTACTCCTCGCGTTTAAGAGCAGCATAATTCGTTTCCCAAATGTTATACCTCACTTAGAACATGCGATACTCGATGATCCGTGCATAAAATAAAATCGAAACGATGAATTCGTTTTACAAAGGTTTCGGTATTGCTCGCAAGTTTAGAGCTATTGTATGCATGAGATTTTACGATTAAACAAATGAGAATCCTTACCTTTCATGACGGAAAACGGTATCATAGTCGTTCCGAGGCGTTCACCCGTTCTTCCGTGAAGTTTTCATCAATCAATGCGAAACAAATTCACATACACACGCGCACAACTGCTTTCAAATGCGAATAACGATGAGAATGCAGCTGAGAGTGCTTCGAGAAGCTATTGTCAAGCGCAGCGTTATTCTAAGCATTTATGCGAACGATGTCCCTGATTCACACTCACAACACACGCGGATGAGATGAACCATTTACATTCTCAGCAAATTCTGAAACGACAAAATTGCATAGTTATTTAATATTCACAAGTGCATTGCGCAGTCAACATGAATTACTTCCGTATACGAAAATACTTACACCGTTTAATTTTATTATATTCGACATTTGCTTATAGAATATTAATTATTTGTAAAATTGCATAATGAAAAAAAAATCCAAGCTATACTGAAATGTTTAACCATTTTTTGGACACGAGTCATTTCGCGAGTTCCTGCTAATGCCGAAATCCGGTAAGGAATGAAGTTAGATATAAGTAGGAAAAGAAAGCAGAGAAGCGTGAATAACACCGAAAGTAGTCTTGGGCACAAGCTGCGTCATAAATTGGGGTCATCAAAAAGAAAAAAAAATAAAGGAAAAGCGAGGGAAAGCAGCCAACTCGTTTTCCTGATACTTGCTGCACTCTCGGACTTTGCTTTGCCCAGACAACACCGCGAGTATACCGAATTTTTACAGACACACATGCACACACACTCAAAAAGATACCGGATGGGATTCTAAGGTTCACGAAACAATGTATGTCCTTTCTGTTTCGTAGCTAGCAAGGAGACACAGGAAGCCCGGGACTTTCATCTTTCGTTGTTTTCGATTTTTTCAGAAAGCGGAGTGCTTTTATCTCTCCCTCTCATGGAAATTATTGTACTGCACTTTGCGACACTAGTAAGAGTTTAAAAAAAAAACTTCACCGAAACTGATTTTGGCCTAAAGTGGGAATACAAGTTCGAGAATAATAATAACTTTCCTCTTACTCAACAAGAAAGAAAATATTCATCGAAAACTTCTCGTTCAACTGAAACTAGATACGTTATATTCAAAGTTTGTTACATTATGATAATTGTGTTTCGAAAATCATTTGAATACATTAAAAACTTATATTCAGTGGAGTTGGCAAATATTTTAATGCAAGACGTATACCCTTTCAGAAAACGATCTATAAAAAGGACAGACGTCAACGAGAGGAAGAGCTGAGAAAAGGTGGCAAGTCTGTACATTGCTGGGTGTTACGTATTTTTCTTTGTCACGTGCAGAGCAAAGTCATTCTCAACACTCCAAGCCGATATCATGTCTATATAAATATACGCCAGAGCTATAATGTCATTGCACTTGCATCATCTCAGCTTCTCTTGCTCTGGAGAGGATCGGTGCGGCTAACGTACACACATTTCTTTTTTTTTTCTATTGACTTTGCACGCGGCCACGATATCCGCGAGCAAGGGGCAACGTTTTATTCGACGTATTATTGGGTCCGCGAACTGATACACACAAAAAAAGATTTGATTTTTTCCATTTGCTAAATAAGTTGCAGCCACTACGAGGCTAGACCCGACTTTACCTCATGAAAAGAATAATAAAACGCTGTACGAGTGAAATTTGAAGCGTTCTATTGAATTTGGCAGACTATTACAGACAGTCTGTCTGACTGTAGGTCTGGGCCAACAAAGATACTGCGCGGTGGCTCTTCAGAGGAGCTTTCGAAAAAAGCTTTTCGGTAAACCAAGCTTTTACTTCACATAATTAATGTGTGCTTTGAGAAAAAAGTAATTGAATACATTTTCTGGCTTAAGATAAATCGTATCGATGCATTATGGCGCTTGAAAAGGTAAATATTTATTTCACGTAAACATCAAACAACTCCTTCGAGTAATCAATTTTTTAGTCAAGGCAAATCAATAATGCGAAATTCGTAAGCACGGAAAAGCGGTAATGAAATTCAAAGTAACTTTTAAAGTCTGCTAATAAACGCCTACAGTGACAGGTGAGTCTGATGTGTGCAAGAATGAAGTCTGAAAAATGAACGGACATTTAAATACGCCTATTACAGCGTGTCGAAAAAATAAGCCAGCAATAGCAGTAGCTAGCAACAGCGGCGGCGGCGGCAGCAGCAGCAGCAGCTACTTGAAAAAGCCGCCTCGATGACTATGCAGTAGCAAGAAGTATCGCTTACTCATCGAATGTCTTGCTTGCGTCCGCTCTCTGGCGCTGCACCTGCAGCAGTAGTGCCACCAGCCTTCCCCTTTATAACGTATCGCTTTTTTTCGGACGAAGCCCTTCAAATAAACCATTATGCTTTCACTCTGGATAAGTAAAGCTATGTGTATGTTTTTTTTTTAATTTTTCACTGTCTCAAGCGAAATGCAGCGTTTTTTGTAGATTTTCAAGTTAAGTTTAACGAAAACTATTGCTCAAACGTACGAAAAAAGCACATCATTTTAATGGATGGAAGATAAATATGAAAATACAAAATCAAATCCAGCGCATAGAAAGAGTATATCAATTAGAGTTGTATAATGTGGATAGAGCAGTATTTTCTTGTTAAATTCGAAAAGATTCGAAAAGATAATTAGTTCGCTTTTATTTCCGGTTCAATAATCTTATGTATTTAAAAGCAATTCGCAATTTCATTCGCTCCTAGAGTTAAAATCGTCCATAAATTTATTCAGCGCGGTAGATGAGATTTTAGCTTTTATTTAGCTTTGTTCATCGAATTGCCACAATTCTATGCGCAAGACATATCTATATGTACTTGGCATTTGTGCACGCAAAAGAGCCGGCGAGGTGGGTGCTAATCTGCCACCAACATTTGCCTCCCTCGCTTCGTCAGCGAGCATATATAGATATCTCTCGTTGTGGGTCTTCGCTGCTTTTATTGCCTCAGATATCACGAGGCTCTACCGAACGTTGCTTTACAGAAGTATTTGCGCATTTTAACTCTTAATAAACTTTTAAATAGGTAATAGTCATGGCAAAGAGCGATTATAGCAATTAAAATTTTCGATATTTGCAGCGACACGAGACGTTGAACCGAGAAACGAATTGTATTCGCTCGAGTAATTCGAACTTGGAGGGAAAAATGCATTCGAAAAACTAGATGTACGCTGTTGTGCGCAGATGGATATATTGCACTGCCACGCAAACATCCAATTACCGAGCGAGTCCCTACGGTTCGTCGAAAAGTAAACATGAACCATGCAAAAATACTGTTTTCTCAGCGATCGAATCAATGTCGTACAATGTTGCAATAATGTTTTCATGATTTGATTGGATCGTCCGTCGCACGACCGTCGAGGGGTAAAACGCCGGTGACACATTCGAAAGCACAAATAACAATAGAAATAAATTGAGACACTAATTTATTCGAGATTTTCGAACGCGGTGGTCGGGTGGGTAGATCTGGTCGGTAGCAATTTTCAATGAAAGTATATACGCGCCGGACTCCGCGTGCATTGAAATTGTATAATGACATGAAATTACCGAGCAAACTACCTTACATTACAAATTCTATAGACAAACGGTGCAAAATGTGCATAGATAAATTTATCTATCCGCTCTGGCCTTTGGAAAAGCAAAATTTGCCTATTAACAAAGCGGCACGGCGGGTGGTTAAATCGCCCCGTGCATGTGCCGTGCAGATTTAGCGCACGATCGCCGCCACGATCGAACTCCGAACTGAAATACTTTGAAATTCATAGCGAATAACAATTTCATCGTGCGCGGAGAGAGCCAGCTGCGCGCTACAAAGTATAATCGTGGGAAATCTAGTAGCATCGCGTGCGAGAGTATCGTTACATACACGCACGTATACGTATATATGCGGGGCTGCGATGCATACACACAGATACGCGCGCGCGCGCGGCAAAGTCCATTTTCTACGAATCTTAATACGCGCGCTGCAAGCTCGAGCTCGAACGCGTTCGCAAGCGAAGTATCCCTGCATCTCTATATAGAGTAGTGCAGCAGTATCGGAGCAATGACGTGCGCGCGCTCGCGCGTGCAGACACGTAAACACGCTCGTATAAGAGAGAGAAAGAGAGAGAAGCGCGAGCGTTACACAACTTTGAAGTGCGAAATAAACAGCTAGCCTAAAAGCTCCGAAGCGTAAGCGAGCTAGTGCGAAGAGCGGCTACATGCGCGACTATGTGCACGCGTCGTCCATGCGAGATACTTGGCTCGAGCGCAGACTTGCAATTGTGCGAAGATACAAGCGAAGTTTTGTGGCGACCACAAAGGGAGCCCCCCCGATCTCTCCACAGCCCCTCTCTGCGCATTTCTAGCGTCTATCCAGCGGCTCTCTACCACTTCTAGTCATTTGGCACTCGTTTATGTATGTATAAGCGCGGCAAGCAAAAGTTGATGCACGCATAGATAGACGCGCGCATAACGAAAGAGGAAAAACTCCGTTACGCGTGAGACGACGACGAAGAAGATGAAGAAGCAGCAGCGCATAAAAGCCATTGCCGCGTCGAAGACTCATTAGCCATGTACCCCGTAACCCTTTCTCTCTCTCTCTCTCTCGGTGCACAGCCGAGCTTTTTCAAGCGAGCTATATATATTGTATATACTGCCGAGCAGCGGAGCACGACGAGCGTGAAAGCGTCCGATGCGAGCGATTATGCGGGCTCGCGCGCGCGCAAGCTTGGACGAGACCATAACGCGTGCTTCAGCGATCCGTTTCGTCTACTATAGCGAATCTACTACGTACTATATATAGATATATACCTGAGAGCTTGCGACGACCAGTAAATCCAAGCACGAGCGCGATTCTCCAGTTTTGTCGTTGGAGCTATCGTTTTGCCGAGGCGTCTGTTCGTTCCCATCGAGACAATTCTGTCTTCTAGTCGTCATTTTTCTACACGCACTCGGCGAAAACTCAATCGATGATCACTCACTCTCCAGAGGATCCGTGCACGGTAAAGCACCTGCACTTATTTGCGTATACCGTTGGCCAACCTACTTTTGCTAAACACTGAATAACTAAAAGAGCCACATTCTACAGGTGAGAATTAAAAAACAAAAAAGCCGCTGGAACATGCGGTGGTTACTGATATGTGAAAGCACGTTCGCAATTTTATTCATATACTTTGATTAGATATTACTCGTACGTATTCACAAGACGTACTTGTTATTAGATTGACGAAAATTAGGTTCGTCGCGCTACACGAAAACGCGCAGCGATATTAGAAAAACGCAGGGGAAACGCGCACTCCGCGTGA